TGTGAGGCATGTTTTAATATGGATGGATGCGCTTTATTTGACTACTTCTGGACTGTTGAACAAAAACACGCCATGCCATTATAAAGCTTGGAAGAGCAAGGACAATTTTTAATATAACTCCGATTGGATTCGTCTGAAAGAAGAAAGTCATCTACACCTAGGATGCCTTGGGGGTGAGTAAAACATGGGCTAATTTTCATTTTTGGGTGAACTAACCCTTTAATGTTAGCAATATGGATAAAAACATGCATACAGCTAATATTAAATGTATGTAAGAATAACAGACAGTTGCCGGAAAAAGTAATCTGTCAATTTAACGGGTATCATGTGAAAGTATGCGTCTTAAATATAAAACCAGTACACGTAGGCAATAAGTGTGTCACATTTTCAGCAAAATCTTGGCGTTTAAGACAGCCATTTAAAAAATACTCTCATTTACACTGATTAGCTAAGGAAAAAAAAGTGCAAATTTGCTTCCATGAGAGAAACCCCAGAGGAGACAGTAGACTGAGGCCTGTCATGTGTAATACTCACTGCAGAGCAGATTTTCTGGGAGGAGAGAGAAAGCGTGTGGTTGTTACACAAGAACCTGCGTCCCCTGACACTCTCACACCCACACATTCACTAACAAGTAGCCAGGCCATGATATTATGCCCACACACACAACTCCGATTGGATTCGTCTGAAAGAAGAAAGTCATCTACACCTAGGATGCCTTGGGGGTGAGTAAAACATGGGCTAATTTTCATTTTTGGGTGAACTAACCCTTTAATGTTAGCAATATGGATAAAAACATGCATACAGCTAATATTAAATGTATGTAAGAATAACAGACAGTTGCCGGAAAAAGTAATCTGTCAATTTAACGGGTATCATGTGAAAGTATGCGTCTTAAATATAAAACCAGTACACGTAGGCAATAAGTGTGTCACATTTTCAGCAAAATCTTGGCGTTTAAGACAGCCATTTAAAAAATACTCTCATTTACACTGATTAGCTAAGGAAAAAAAAGTGCAAATTTGCTTCCATGAGAGAAACCCCAGAGGAGACAGTAGACTGAGGCCTGTCATGTGTAATACTCACTGCAGAGCAGATTTTCTGGGAGGAGAGAGAAAGCGTGTGGTTGTTACACAAGAACCTGCGTCCCCTGACACTCTCACACCCACACATTCACTAACAAGTAGCCAGGCCATGATATTATGCCCACACACACTCGCATAGCCTAAAAATACTCTTACACATGTATAAACATGCATGGAGCAAAGAAAACACATGCATATGTATATACAAACCCTCCTACATATGTTTCTACACCGTATTGTCTCAAAACAAATTGAATTTTGCTCCAGATAGTACTCACCCCTTGCCTGCAGGCCTGTTCGTTGAGCGCCCGGACCCAGGCTCTCTGCCAGTGCTCCCTGAACGACTTGAACACAAAAAGCGAGGACAAAAGACCTTTGACGCCCGCTTCAGTGTCACTCCCTGCCCCGTCTCGCCCCAGCCTCAGCCTCAGGAGGGAACCCCACACCCCACCCGTCAGTGTCTGGTGGGTGAGACTCAAGGGCAGCTGCCACGGGGTCTCCCTCTTGCCCTGGACCCTCGTGCACCACCTAGGGCGAAGCAACGCCAGTGAGAACTGAACGAGCCAGGCTAATACGACCAGCAGCGAGGCGCAGAAGAGCGCCACCTGAACCAGCCAGCTCACGTCCTGGAAAGTCATCATCTCCCTAATCACTGTTCACTTAAGTCTCATGTTTATGAAAGGTTGAAAATCTTGACTCACGAAGGTTGGAACTCTGGGGAAAGGGAGAGAGAGACAGAGAGTAATTCGAGTGGAAAAAGACAGGATGAAGGGATATACAGCCATGCAGCAAAGACAAAACATGTTAACAACATCTTATAGGAACAGTGAGATCTTAAAGGGACAGTTGACTCAAAAATGAAAATTCTTGAGTCAACTTCATGTTGTTCCGAACCTGTAAGGGGCCATTCATACAGAATGCTTCTTGCTTTTAAAAATGCGAGACGCGAGACAGGGGAGACAATAAAAACACAAGGTCCAGAGATGCGTTTTTATCATGCCATCATGCATGAGATACTGTAAAAAGACACGAGACATGAGCACGTCCGTTTAGCATGTTAATGTAGAAAAACAACCGAAAAGGAAAACACAGTGGAACGCAAAAATGTGTTTGTGAACAGCCCCTAAGATCTTTTTTTCTTTTACAAAAAGAGATGTTAGACGGCATGTTTGGGAGTCACTGATAGCAGGGATGGTTCACGCGGAGACACAGAGCAGTGGAAAGAAAAAAAGGCAAGGTCTCAAGAAAAATTTGAACTTTTTTTTTTTTACTTGAGCATCTCTCGCTATTGTCAAATATGTGCATCTAGTGCGTGATTAAATAGAAAAACAATGGAAAAACAGAGCAGTTGAATGCAAAAACGTATTCTGTGTGAATAGCCCCTCTCTTGATTGCTGTTCTCTTTTTATGTTCCAAGGAAAAAAGAAAGTCATATGTGTTTGGAACAACATAAGGGTGAAAATAATGACAAAATTTAAATATTTTGGTGAACTGTACTTTTAACAAGAGGTCAAATTCATGAAAATCAGCTATGGTTTCTTTACTATTTACATATATATTATATTCTTGGCAAATGTTTTCCTACCAAACAATTCAGAAGTAAGGCCAGCTTACCTACAAAATATGGTATTTATTTCATAACACCACACTTATTGCTGCTGTATTTGTTTACTGTGCTGTAAAATCGTAAAAAACGTATGTATATGTATGTGTATGTATGTATGTACACACACACACACACACACACACACGACAGTGGTCTAATTTTATTGCACAATAATGACTGTAGCTACTACTTTAACCATTTGCGCCCAAACTAAAGTTACCGTAGTAACCTTTTTGCAAAGGTTGCAAATACGTGTTCCTATCAAATAGATTTACAATGTTTCGTGTTAGTATTATCACCTGTGCTTAAAAGTTTAAGCAGTTAAGCAAACTGACTAAGCATTTCGGTGAAAGTGGGACATTGAATGCATGTCCTGAAACCGGAGAAGTGCACAACTTCTTCCAGAAAACTCAGATCGGTTGCAGAGTCTAGTCCTGTGTGAAGCCTGTCTCATACAAACCCGTTCCGATTCTGTCACATTACTGACAGTCCAGGGTGTTCTGGGTCAGTGCAGCACTGCAACGTCGAAACAGCTCATCATGACCCATCTAGCGATTCATTTCAAGTCCCTTCTTCTTGACAGCTAATCTAAGCTTGTATGCAATAATGGCGTTCATATCAAATTATGCATGTTTACGTCCCCCTCACTGGTCACCATTCGAAAAGCTGTGTTTCAAAGCCTAGTGCGCTGCCTAACTAGACAGCATTTTTGGGCAACTGACTCCGATCAGTCCGTTCAGCTGACTCGGAACGAGCCTACGGTGGACAAAAATGCTGGACGCGCATATATGACGCCGAATGTATATCCAGTATTTAAAAAAAAAAAAACAGAAAAGAAATATTACCGATCAGACGAGAAACACCGTCTTTGGACGCTGACTAGCTACAGATCACCAGCTCAATGGCTACATCATGTCTTCGTAATTTCAGCACCAGTCTTCAGGTCCGAGCATCTTCTACGATCAAACCCGAGTTGATCGGTACATGGCCTCCGTTTCGTGAATCTTTAGCGTGCTACATAAAACCACACATTTATAATATCCTGCGCTGTCAACTCAAGAGAAAATGTGCCCCCTCCCACCGTCGGTGTCGGATGGTCTGTAATGGCAATGCGCAGGAACAGAACAGTCGAGCTGTCAAATAGTGTAGCAACACAAACACACACCGCGTACGCACTGCACGTATTTAAAGAGACACGCACACCCGCTTGAGCTGCCGAAACTGCGCATGCGCAGTGCGCACATTCCCTGCCTGCGCGGTGCGCGCCACAAAGCGCACTCGCTGTCGCTGATGTTTATGAGGATTCACATTATGTCATAAACATAAGAATGTTATGCTCCATTTGTCATCACTTTTAGGATACAAGTATCCATTTATTTTGCGTTTTGGGCTAATGTTTCTAATTCTATATTAGCCAACTTCTGTATTAGCCAAAATTGTGTTCTTTGGTTACTCTCTTCATATTACATTTAGAATTATTTTATTAATATTCTAGCAAAATTTTACATTCGTAATGTACATTTTCAAAGATAATATGAATATAAATACATTTGATAAATATATAATATATATTCAATTATTTATATTTTCAAGAAAGATGGTGATATATACAGTAGATACATATTTGTATTCTTAAAAAAATTCAAAGTCAGCTTGTAATAATCTTCTATATGTAATACTTATAAAATTACATTAAAAATATATAATTTTATAAAATACTTAAATAACTACAATCATATAATATATTATATAAACACACATATAATAATATATTATTGTTTTAATATGCTTTAATTTATTTCATTGTATTGTAATGTATTCATTTTCATGTTTTGTAACCATCTTATAATATTTTGTGTATTGTCTTTATGCTTGTAAATCACTTGTGTTCACTGTTGTAAAAAACATAGGGTTATTATATGATATTATAAGAGAGTGAGCATAGCTGTCATATCCCTGTTCCAATGTCTTGTCTGAGTTCTTGTAATACATGCTTAATCAAATATAAGATTACAGCATTCCATTTTTCAGCCTTTATTCCTTAACTAAGATGTATGAGCTTAATACAATTTTTAAGGCAAATATTAAAATCTATGGCTATGTTAAATAGAATATTTTTAAAAAGACAAATAATAATAATAATAACACGACTTAATGTTGTTGTTGTTGTTATTTGGTATTTCTAAAAATTAGAGTCATAAAACATAATTGTTAATTTGAGCGACAGAATCACAATGTTTCTACCTTTATACAGTCTATGGTTTCTACACTGAAAATGAGACCTTTAACGTACTATTCATTTTGTTTCCGGTTGTGTTACGTCTGCAAAGGTTCGACTGCAAACAAGATGATAGCAAATAGATTTACGTATTTCTCTGATAAAAGACCTACCTGATCACTACCGCGTGTTTAGCAGTATTACGCTTCGAAGCTTTTACTGTCGTACCAACAGCTTATGAGAGTATAATAAGCAAGTTGTTTAATGTACCCAGTCGGCGGTAGGATTATGTTGACGGAAGTAGACGTGGATTTTGTGATGAGATCAGAGCCAAACCTATACAGTAAACTGATACATCTATCTCATTTTGACGTCAAAGAAGCTTACGAGTAACTAGTAACTCATAACCTGAACCGGTGCTTATTTGGCCAGGATTCTTTTTTATCGCTTGACTGTAATTTACCCGAGCTTTACCCGAAAATCTAGCTGTCATCATAAAGCCAATGAACTGCCGTTCATTGATTCAGTACTTTTGTATAAAAACGGTTCGGTCGATTAGAAAACAAGCAAATTGTCATCTATGCGCGCGATTTCATTCAGCGATGTCTACAGCCATGTGGTCTGTAGCTGCATTTGAAATGTAATCCAATTTTTGTCAGCCTCGAAGAAACTTAAACCAATGACAGCTCCACTATGGATATGCAACACAAAAGTTTTAAATGTTGCTGACAGGAATCGAACGCCGTTTTCAACTGGATGTATCCACATATAACTGATATATAGTACAGTAGATACAGTATATTGTATTTTTATGTCGTGTTAGTCCATGGAGAAGATGTCTCCAGTTCCTGCTCTTCCTCTTATCATCAACTGTTGTATGTCTGCACTTGGGTGCATTGCAACAATCAAACTGATTCCTGCTTTTAAGGATCATTTCATATCTGCCAGACTCTATGGCATGGACCTAAATAAAGCCATAAAGAAAGAGGTGTAAGTGGTTGATTTTTACATCAAACGTATGAATTGCAATTTGGTGTTTGGAACCTGAATTTAACTCCTTTCTCTTTTCCTTATTAACCAGGCCCGAATCGCAAGGTGTAATCAGTGGCACAGTCTTTCTCATCATTCTCTTCCTCTTCATCCCTGTCCCCTTCCTCCAGTGCTTTATGGGAGAGCAGTGTCAACGGTTCCCTCACAACGAGGTGAGTTAATCATCCCTTAATGATAAAACAATAAACACATTTCAAGAATTCACCACTTACACTACTGTTCTGTTTGGGTTCAGTTTCTTTAAGGAAATTAAATTAAAGTGGCATTAAATGAAAAGTGACAATAGAGACATTTATGTTACAAAAGCTTAAAATATCATGTCAAAAAATATTAATCCTCACAACTGTTTCAACATTGATAATAAGAAATGTTTCATGAGCAGCAAATCAGTATATTATGAATATTATAGTATATTATTTTATTCTGAAGGATCATGTGACACTCAAGACTGTCACTGATCACAGGTATAAATGATATTTTAAGTAGTGCTGGGCAATGATTAATCGCGATTAATTGCATCCAAAATAAAAGTTAGCATAAGAGACTTATTTAAAAATATATATATATATAAAATATCAATATAAATATAAAATAATGTAATATAAAATATCAGTCATAACTATGGCATTTGTGCATATGTCCATGTAGTTTGTGCAGCTGATTGGTGCTTTGTTGGCCATCTGCTGCATGATATTCCTGGGCTTTGCTGATGATGTTCTGAATCTGCGATGGAGACACAAGCTGCTGCTGCCCACTATGGCCTCCCTGCCTCTACTCATGGTCTACTTCACTAACTTTGGCAACACTCTCATCGTCGTGCCCAAACCTTTCCGTGTCCTGCTGGGGATGCATCTGGACTTGGGTGAGTTTGACAGTCTGCTTAAATGTCTGGTGCTCTAGATTTGATTGTATTGCCCTCTTGTTTGATATGTGCAGTATGACTGTCGCTATTCTCAGCATTTTTATACAATGTGTTTCAGGCATTCTGTATTATGTATATATGGGAATGCTGGCTGTATTCTGCACAAATGCCATCAACATCTTGGCTGGTATCAATGGCATTGAGTCTGGGCAAGCTCTCTTCATATCTGGCTCCATCATCCTCTTTAATATACTGGAACTCAATGGTGAGCGGAGGGTTTCTATTCAACCTGTTTGATCAAATTTTCCACCTGCTTTCCACATGCATAATTTATACCATTTATATACACACTACTGTTCAAAAGTTTAAAATAATATTTTTATGTTTTTGAAACAAGTCTGTTATGGTCACAAAGGGTGTATTTATTTGATCAGTTAAAAACAGTAAAACTACTATTGTGAAATAACTGTTTTTTTAATATATATATATTTTTAATGTCATTTATTCCTGTGATGGCAAAACTCAACTCTCAGAAGTCATTACTCCAGTCTTCAGTGTCACATTATACTTAATTCGTTTAAACCTCTCTGACATTGCTTGATTTTTATTTAAATAGGTCTGTAGATATATTCTCTAATTTATATTGTTCAATTGATCTTTGATTAATGTTTCTCTTTCAGGAGACTACAGGGATGACCATGTTTTCTCTTTGTACTTCATGATTCCCTTTTTTTTCACCACATTAGCCCTCTTCTACCACAACTGGTTTGTTAAATATATTGCTTTTTGATCATCTTTACTTACTTTAGTTTAAGACGACCCATTAAAATGCTGAACTGAAGTTTGACAATCAGCACTGATAATAATCTTAACCTCAACAACTCCTATTTTTTAACCTATAATAAACCTTTGAATATCTTTTATCAGGTACCCTTCCTCTGTGTTTGTGGGAGACACTTTCTGTTACTTTGCTGGAATGACGTTTGCAGTGGTTGGGATACTCGGCCACTTCAGTAAGACCATGCTGCTTTTCTTCATCCCCCAAATCATCAACTTCATTTACTCTCTGCCTCAGCTGTTTCACATTATTCCCTGTCCCAGACATCGCCTGCCTAGGTGGGTTATTACACTAACATTTTAAAATCAAGCTATAACATAGATTCCTTTTTACTTACAGTAGAATTTATTTTGACAGTCATTGAAAGTTATTTGAATATGTGGGCATTTGAAGTGTTAAACTCTTTAAGTAACTTTTTCACTTATGATTTATTTGTAAGTTTTATACATGCTTTACTTATGATTTCAACAGTGTTCCCTAAACATTTGCACCATATATAAGGCAAAATGAAATGGTTATGAGAGCTTGACCTCTGAAACTGATTAATGCAGGTTACAATCTGACACGGGAAAGCTTGGCATGAGCTATTCCAAGTTCAAACAGAAGGACCTGGGCAAATTAGGGCAACTTATTCTGAAGGTAAACACACTCATGCCACTGTCAGTATTTATCATTATAAATAGGTTTAGGAATGTTTGTTTAAAAGAATGTTATTTTTGCAACAAAAGATCCAGGAGCTTAACCTATAGGTATACGGTATTCCCTGTATCTTTGAATGCGATTTCCTCTTTTATCCTGCAGGTGGCAGAAATGTTATGGCTTCTGGATGTGCGTAGAGGGCAGGAAGGAGATGATGAGTTTATTGAGTGTAACAACATGACCCTTATCAACCTGGTACTAAAAGTACTGGGACCTACCCATGAGAGAAACCTGACTACAATCATGCTTTTAATACAGGTGAATCCCATGAATTTATTACAGAGTTGAGAGGCAATGTGCTATACTATGATTATTTCAATTCAAAGTGCTTTGAAACCGTAAAGAAGGTTGTGATATTTGGCATTACTGCCTCACTAATGTATGAGAAATGCATCTTTCTGGTCATTATCATAAGGCCCCCTTTAGTCACAACAATATTCAAAGGCTCCCTAGCCCTAGTGTTGTTTTCAAAACTTACTTTAATATATGGGCACTCCAAAGTTTCTGTAAATTCCTATAAAAAAATGTATTAGTTGAATCTTCTTCAGGGTTTCAACTCTTCCAATTTTAAGGATAAGGTTTTTTTTTTAAAGGTATTTCTCTTTCTCTATCTCTTTCTATCTCTGATAAAATACTTTAGAGATTGGCGTCTAGCAAAAATGTATATTCATGCAAAATGTATTAAAGCAGCACTATGTATATAATGAGCGAGTACATCATGAATTCATCTTCCAAACCGCGTTTTTGTCTTATTCCGAATCACTACGGTACACTTATAATAAGTACTTATATTTGGACTATTGTAGCCTGGTCGGGTCGTCACCGCTGCGGAGTAACACATACCTGCGTGAATCGCCATAGACATAAACTTAGAGAAGTAGCTCCGGTTGGAATGTTCTTCCGCGGGATGTGTGCAGTTCTGTTTATTAACCGCTAGAGCGCCAAAAGTTACATAGTGCTGCTTTAATCAAATTCAAGATTTGATTAATTTACATGCCTTTTCCAGGTGTAGAAATCACATTTTCAAAATTAGGCTACCTCATGAATGCAGGTTTTCAAAGACTGTGTAAATTCTTCAAAAGAAACTGATGTTTTGGTGGTTTGAGATAATACATAGGCGTAATTTACGGGTGGGACATGTCCCCACCACATTTTGCCAGGGTCGATATTGTCCCTACCACTTTTTGAAAGTAATTGAAAAATATATTGCGGAAGGTATGTATTAAAGGGAAAACAAGATCAACAAATCATTCTTCATAATCTAATTAGGGTGATTAAAAAACAAAAAAACAACAACATTTGACTCCTTACGCATGCATAACTCGTGCAGTGCAATAACGACGTGATTTGCAGCTGTCGCACTTTTCGTAATGTCATTATAGGCTATAGCATGGTGTCCCCACCACTTTTCAAAGCAAAGTTACGCCACTGATAGTATATTTCTTTCTCAGGTCTCGGGGAGTGCCGTGGCATTTGGAATCCGGTATCATCTTGTGCGTCTGTTCTACGACATCTAGACCACTCAAGCTCCTGAGAGACTTTACAACCTGCTGCTTTCATTTGAAGAACAAACAAAACTGAAACAAAACTGATTGTTGTAAGAATGATAACTATACTGCCTGTCCTCTATAAAGTATGGAATCTTGATACTACACACTGTATTCCAGCTTCTCTGTCTATATATCTGCATGAGATGGGACAGTGTACACATATGCCCTTAACTGTCATTGGGACATGAAAGCTCTGTAGATAATGAACAATGTCTGCGTAAGGATATCTAATTATTTTGGTTGACCTGAAAAGAGGGTTCTATTTTGAAAGATTATGGGAAACAGTTACATTCAGGAATATTTTAGGGAGTTTGACATTTTTGAGAACATTTCTGAAAGATTACTTGATATATGCAGTTGTATTTGTGTGTGTGTGTGTGTGTGTGTGTGGCAAATCTAATATTATGCCTTTGACTGATTTAAATAAACCAATGTGACCATAGAACAAACATACTAGCTTCCGGAAAGGAAAAAGTGCTCTATATTTATACTGTTTTATAGATCAATTGTTGTATATTTTATATGTTTTATATTTATATTGTTCTCATGCAGTTTTCAGACCAAAAATCAAACATAACCCAAACATTAATACTAATACAAAGAACTCATTTTTCAATTATTTAGCATGAGGGCTTTCCAGGTTATTATATACCAAGGACTCTCAAATGTGGTGGTCCCTTTCCTACAATACAAAGGCAGCTGTTAAGTTTAATATATAGCAACCCTTTTATACTGTGACCATAGTAAGTGTGTAGTCTTTTAATAAGAACATTATGTTTGCAAAATTAAATGTTTTTTTTTATTTGCCATTGTACTAAAATGATAGCAAATTGTTAAAATATTATCTGGAAAACAATTACTTGATATCACAGTTTATACTCTCTCGCGCGCTTTCCTGTGTATTAGAAAAATGTGTTTCGCTTTTTTGAGATTTATTAATATAGCACAATAATTTCGGTGCAATTCCAAAGCAGATTTACATAAAGTAGTGCCATACAGCAAATTAACTTTTTTAAAGGGTTGTAAGACAGGCATTACCGCCACTGAATACAAAGTGCAAATCGAGCTGCGGAACACTTGAATGAGTTTAGGTGTTGGAGGGAATGATAATTGTGATGTACTGCTAGGCTGCAATTTGATTGGCTGAGATTTGAACGTGACGCCGCAAAGGTGAATTCTGATTGGTTTGGTTATTTCATGGGAAAAAAGTAAGGAAATGTTTGAAGTATTTGCAAAAGGTGAGTTATTTATCAATATTTTTAAACAACTGCAGACGCATTCCCTCACGAAATAGTGTTCATCGTCTGTTTGATTACGTCTTTAATTTATTTTCCCGTACATTTCTGCCATATGTACATTAACTGACAGTCACCACTGATAAGCTTCCACTAAATATTGTAGAAACTTAAGTAGCGGTGAAGTTGCTTTGCAACGATCTGTATCGTGAATAGCGCTATACAAATAAGCTTGAATTGAATTGAAATATCCTTGAATGAAAACACATTCAATTATTCTCAACCGAAGCCACTAGTCAACAAAATGGAGGCAGAATGTTAACTTGCCTTTTTGTTTTGCTAACCAGCTGTGTCATACTAGGTAACAACGTCGTCTATGATTTAATAAAACTACTAGCTGTACATTTGGTAATTAAGAAGTATTAATATGTTGGAGGTAATCATTTTGGCGCAGTTCATATTGTGAATGTGGTTGTTTATCGCCTTTAAAAACAAACTGGCAGCTATGGACAGAAAGCTCGAGCTGCGGTGTGCAGGACAAACTTACAGTCATGTTAGATCTCGCATGTGACTTTAGCATGTGTTTCAGAAGACGGGAGGACCACACATTGTGCTTTACATTCAGTGCTGCAGGATGCCGCCGTCGGGTAAACGCGCCCTGCGCAGAGAGGAGCTGCAGCTGGAGCTGGCGTGTGAGTGGGGCTCGTGTCAGGAGACGTTTGACAGGATGCAGGAGTTTTGCCAGCACGTGGAGAAACATTATAAAGCTACCGTGGACAGTGAGACAGACTTACCAGGTGCGTCCAACCCTTGAAGGTGTCAGGTCTTGTAATGGAAGCATTTATTTACTTATCTTTCATGTCTTAAAGGGATAGTTCACTCAAAAATGAACATTCTCATCATTTATTTAACATGATATAGTTCCAAGTTTTTTTATGGAACACAATAGGAAACATTTTGAAGAATATCTGTTGCATGCATTGAAAATGAAAGGTGACTATGGATGTCTCGCACTGACTTGGAACATTGCGGTATGAGTCATATGGACTAGTTCTAATGACTTTTTCTAACGATTTTGTAAATAAAAACTTGTATAATGAAACTAAAATGAAAATAAAAGCTAATTCAAAATATTTATAAAAATTCTCAATATAAATAATACTTTATATTGAAAGTCTCCTCTTGTTGCAATTGTGAGATGTAAAGTTATTGCGTAAAAATGAGTAAAGATTCAATTCTAAGAATAAACATACCATACATTGCAAAATAAATGACAATATAAACAATAGCTTATCAGTTCTGGTATAATGTGTTTTAAAGGGGACTATTAGTGCTGGGGTTGTGCTAGTAACACATAACATTTCTTATTTCTTTATCTATTCTACATTGCACCAACTGGCACATTTTTATGCATTGCTCGACTGTCTGTATTAATGTTACATCGGTGGAGGATTGTTGAGTGTTGACTTTGAGCCATAGCAGGCGTCTCAGCTCAAGGTTTCTGGCAGTCAGAGTCCCTGTGGCGCTGACTCCATTGGTCTGGTCCATAATCAATACTTGGCTTGCCTGCATGTTTTACAGAAGAGGAGCATAACTGTCTGTGGAGAGACTGTGGCTTCTGCTCAGTGGAAGGAAATGCAGAGCTTCTCAGACACATGTTCTTTCATTGCTACCACACCAAGTTGAAGCAATGGGGTCTTGCTATACTCAAGGGCCACAGTGACATGGGTGCCTGTTCGGTCGGCCTCCATAACCGCAACATTGTGCCTGAGGTCCAAGAGAACTTCCTTTGTCTTTGGGAGCACTGTGAGGTATGGAAGCAATCCCAAGTGTTACTGTATGTGGCTTGTCAAATCAAGTTTATTGAGGTGTGAAGAATAAGTGGAAGAGTTTTTATTCTATTATATGTATTGTGTTTGGCAGTGCTTTCAAAATAAAGTGCTCAGCTGATAAGCGTATTTGTATTCAGATGTCTATGGATAATCCGGAGTGGTTCTACAGACATGTGGAGATGCATGCCCATTGTCTCGAGGCTAATGAAGAGAATGTGTTGTTCTGTGGCTGGAAAGGTAAGAAACAACTTCAAGGCCCCTCCATTGTCCACAACAATATTTGAAAGCCCTATGATTTTTCTAGTTATTTGTAATTTAGTGGAGAAGCATTAATGGTAAGGATTAAAAAAAAAAAAAAAATCTTACAATTTCTACCTGATGAAATGTGTTCGAGCTAAGCATAAATATAAAAATTTATGTTCATTATAATATGACTTTTCCAGATCCAGAGATCACACATTTAAAAATAGGCTACCTTATATATTCACTGGGAACCCCAACTCTTCAACAAAACAAAAAACAAAAATCTAAAATAAATGATTGTAGCTTTTTAATGTTTTTAAAAATGGCACTCTAGTAGTTTTTGGCACCTGGTCGAGAACCACTTCATTCATTAGATGCAGCAAGTCAGTTATGAAATAAACACAGAATCATAAAGAATAGAATAATCAGTTATTATACTTCATAATGTCCAGACTGCTACCTTGTGTTAATGCTAAAATGTAATATTTGTCCGTTTTGTCTGTTCTGGACCTTATTAGGTACAACGTATAAGAGTGAACCCCATGGTAGACGATATTAAGCATCGTAGTCATTTGAATATTCCTGAAAGCTTTCTTTGCTCGTAACGATTTTTAAAGATCTGCACATTTTTTAAATGTTAACATTTCCTTATTTCTAGACTGCGAGGCCTCTTTCAAGGGCAGGTTATTTGAATATTCCTGAAAGCTTTCTTTGCTCGTAACGATTTTTAAAGATCTGCACATTTTTTAAATGTTAACTTTTCCTTATTTCTAGACTGCGAGGCCTCTTTCAAGGGCAGGTTTAAGTTGCGAGAGCACATGCGTAGCCACACACAGGAAAAGCTGGTGGCATGTCCGACCTGTGGAGGAATGTTTGCCAACAACACAAAGTTCTTTGACCACATTCGACGGCAAACCTCCATAGAATGTGAGGGGGTTGTGTTTGAGTTTGTACACATGCAGAAACAGCAATAACATAATCTGAAAACCTTCTGTATTGAACAAATCCGACACTTTGAATTCTTTTGTTGAACATACCAAAAAAAAAAAGATTAGATTGATTAGTATGGCTCATTGCACCCATTTGTTTGTGTGCGATTGTGTCTGTAGCTCAAAGATTTCAGTGTTCTCACTGCTCTAAGCGTTTTGCCACTGAGAGGCTGCTGAGAGACCACATGAGGAACCATGGTATGGGTCTTTTTATATGTTGAGTGTCATAATGGTTGTACTTTGTTCTACTGTATTGAAGCCTTTATTTCCTTATGATGTTCTTCTCTGTTCTCTGATCAAAGTCAACCATTATAAATGTCCTCTTTGTGATATGACCTGTCCATCACCATCCTCGCTGAGAAACCACATCAAATTTCGTCATTCCAACGAGAAGCCTTACAGCTGTGACTACTGCGAGTACAGGTGAGGTCACTTCATTGCCAAAGACAGTGAGTCTGGATCCCCCTGGATATTTCTAATCTTTTAGTCTGCCATTTCAGACCTGTGTGTCAGACCATGATCTGTCAGATTGTTTGTGTTTGTCTGGTTTTCAGCTGTAAAAACCTGATAGATCTGCGGAAGCATTTAGACACGCACAGCAGTGAGCCAGCGTATCGATGTGACTTTGCAGATTGTGACTACTCCACTCGCTCACTTTACTCAATCAAGAACCACTACAAGCGCGTTCATGAGGTGAGCCAGTCAGAAAATGCCAGATACATTCATATCTACATATTAGGAGCCAATAAGAAGACATCAATATAAAATAATGAAATATCTTCTTTTGTGTACCACAGAATAAAGTAAGTCAGGTTTGGTAAGACATATAGCAAATTTTACTTTATTTTATTTTTGGACATGAATATGGCAAATAAAAAATGATGTCAAGCAAATGGTAATATATAAAATTAGTACATTGTTACATTTAGGACTGTTAATGTTGTTTTACCAATTTTTCCTGATTTCAAATGTAAACAGGAAAATGTAATTTCTGTGAGATATTTTTTTAGCCTGTAATTGATGTAAGAATTGTTTATCATTACAAGAAATAATGTAATCAGGTTTGATCTATAAAAATAATTTATCTAATCTAGAGATAATCTCTATTACAGCCAGCAACACAATAAATCCACAATAAATGTATAAAATAAAAAGGCAGAATACATTGTCTGGAACAGTGTGAGCAATTAAAATAAAACTTAATGTTCGTCAGAAAGTGAATACAATTCTGCATCATTACATTTGCACTCATTTTCAGCTCATAGCTTCAGAATAGCTAAAAACGTTAATGTGCTGTTTTGCATTTAGGGAGATTACACTCCTCGCTATAAGTGTCACGTGTGTGAGCAGTGCTTCACCCGGGGGAACAACCTCACTGCCCATTTACGCAAGAAACATCAGTTCAAATGGCCTTCGGGACACCCGAGATTTAGGTTTGAAGTCTTCCTCTTTGACTTTGCTTTTGTTTTCAGAAAGCTCTTGCTAGGTTTGTGTGCAATAAACATTAGATGGTGTATGTGGAAACCTACAATACTGTATTTTTACTATATATATATATTTTTTTTTTTTTTTTTTTTTTGATGTTTAAAAATATAGTCAAAAGCAGTAATTTTTGTAATGTGCCGTTTAAAACAACTGTTCTGTTTTAATAATTATTAAATAATAAATAATTATTAAATGTATTTAATAGATTTTATTTCTCTGAAAAGCGGGCTCTTCAGTGTCACATGATCCTTCAAAAATCATTCTAATATGCTTGAATACATTTGCGCTGCTTAATGTTTTATTATTATACTTTTTTTTTTGTGAAAAACGTTACTTTTTCAGGATTATTTGATGAGTAGGCTTAAAAGAACAGAATTTATCTGAAACAAATCTTTTGTGACATGATAAATATTGTTGGGTCACCTTTTGATCAGGTTAATGTGTCCTTACAGAATAAACATATTATTTTCTTTCAATAAATAAATAAATAAATAATAAATAAAATAAATAAACACAATCAATCAAAACTTTTAAGTAGGTTGACCACCTATAGTTCTAACCATAGTAGATGGCATATTTATTTTGATGTGGGTATCCAGTGGACAGTAAACCTAACCCATCTAACCTGACTGTGGTTTTCTCCAATCTTTTTCAGGTATAAAGAGCATGAAGATGGGTTCATGCGCCTGCAGCTGATCCGCTATGAGAGCGTGGAGCTGACAGAGCAGCTGATGCAGGGAGAAGGGGACAGCAATGAGTCCAGCCAGCAGAACGGTGAAGAACTGGAGGAGACGGGGCCCCTCAGCACTATGGGTGGAAATACAGAGGCAGGAATAAGAAAGGAGGGAGTGGATGTCTGTAGGACACAGGAAAATACAGAAAGTGTGTTCTTGGTGTTGACAGCCGGCACCTCCGCAGAAACAGACTCTACAAGGGAGGGAGCCGTAATGCGTCAGCTACAGGACACTGCCCAACAGCTGGGCATGGAGATGATTTAACTGCACCTCTGATTACCGGAACACCCTAAGACTGCCGTGTCAGACAATAAGAAGGTACATTAGGACATTCCAATTAACTCCGTGACAAAAAATACTATGAGACTAACAGGGGACCAAAACAGGAATAGAGTGTGTGTGAGAATTCTGTCATCATCAAACACTGCACTGAACAAAATCACATGTTAGCTCTGAGGATGTGCTTAAATGAATAGTTCATTCAGTAAGGAGCTTATTTTCTCACCCTCATGTCTTTCTGACTGATTATTTTGTTTGTCACAAAATGCAAAATGAGATGTCAAACACAGTGTGAGTTGCCTTTTTCTATTCAACAAACATTGATGATAATTTATACTGCCAAGCTCCAAAACAGACAAAAAACACCAAGAAAGTATATTAAATGTAGACTTGTACGTTATAAGTGTTGTAAGTATTTTTTATTCCCTGTTTGGAAGTCCGTTTCCTTGTAGGGAAAACACAAGCACACACATTCAGGATCTCTTATTGTGTTTCTTGAAAGAAGGACACTGCAGGGTTGGAATAATAAGATTTAAATAATGACGCTATTTTCATTCTGGGCTGAACTATCCCTTTAAATTTGACTGTTTGTGTGTGTGTGCGTGTGTGTGTGAGTGAGCGAGAGAGAAGAGGGTAATGGGAATGGAAATGTTTAATCCTACTGAACAGTTTAATCAGCTTTCTTTGACAGGTTCAGACTTAATGTGAAGGAAGATGGACAGATCTCTGTGGAGAACTCTTTACAGTGTATAGTTTTATACAGTGTGCTTCTGTTTTAAAGTTGAATTGGAAGTGCTTCTGAATTTTAAACCACCATTCCCGTTTAATTTATTTTTCTACTTTCTATTGAGATCAGTTCTGTTGTGCAGAAAGGCCCATTCCAATTCCTACTGCTGTTGTATCAAAGTAAAAAGTACTTTTTAAATTAATTGTTTTTTGTTTGTTTTTTTAAATATATAATTTTTTTAATATACACCTTTTCCTTAGGACTTTTTTTGCCATTGAGTCCTAATAATTAACAATCTTATTAAGAAAGAATTAATTTAGGGCATACTGACTATACAAATTGACATAATTTTGTTTTAAATAAACAATGGCAGTAATATCAGTACATTTTTGTCCTTTTTGTTTTGTTCTTCTCTAATTAAAATATTTTGCTTGTAAACGGAAATTATTTCTTGCCATTCAAAGTCAGAAAGATTGTTGTGCCATCAGATGAATGAATTACATTTTAAAATCTATTAAAATAATATTAAAATAGTTACTTTAAATTGTAACTATTTCACAATATTACTGTTTTACTGTTTTTGATCAAATAAATGCAGCCTTGGTGAGCAAGAGTCTCCTTTCAAAAACACACAAAAAAATCTTATCAACCCCAAACTTCAATCATTAGTGTGCAAATATACTATATATATTCCTCTGTGTGTGAAAAATTAAAGCTTGTGTGTTCTGGGAATAATCCGCTTTGTTCTGTGATCCTGTGTGTGACTGTAAGAACAGTACTTGTAAGTCCTGTTTGTTTGAATATCTCAGGACAGGAGTCAGCAGGCAGGTTGTGCTGGGTTAGGCAGAAGTTTGTGCATTACTGCAGCAGTCAGAGGTCAGTGTTTGAACGCTTTTCACAGATCTGTGTCGTTACAGTAATTACATGCACTGCAGGTCTCAGGCACACTAGGCACTCTGCTTAGGGAAGTGAATTGGATCAGATTAATCTCGAACATTGTTAAAGGGGTCATATGATGCTTTTTTTAAAGATCATTATTTTGTGTATTTGGTGTAACAGAATATGTTGACATGCTTTAATGTTCAAAAAACACATTATTTTTCAAATACTGTACATTATTGTAGGTCCTATATGCCCCGCCTCTCTCAAACGCTTCGTTTTCTACAAAGTCCCTCCTTCCGACAAGCGCAGTCCGTGAAATTTACAATCAGAGTAACTGAAAATTAAGTTAAACTGCAAATCAGACTTCCCATGGCTCTCTCCCTTTCTCTGTAATCTGTTTCTCTCTGCTCTGGTGATATTAGCTGGTGTGTTAGCCGAATTTAAGAGATTAGTTTGCGTTAAGGGCTTAGTGTAAGCTAAGATGCAACACTTCCCTTTTCTTTCCAACGGTCTCGCTCTGTCTCTGCAGGAAAACAGGTTCTTGAAAATAGCCTTTAAAGAATACAGTTCCTAATGAAATTGTTTTTCTACATTATTCACATAATTATGACTTCTACAATATGAGACAACAGAACAAGGAATTGCTGATTAGAAAATGAGTGTAAGACATTCAAAAGAGGAGAACTGAAGGGATATTGACTTCTGTATACTTCTGTATTGGAGAAGAATTCCTGCCATTAAAACGACATGAAACTAGGAGCTCTTCTGCTGCTGCTTCTGGGGTCCTTGCACGGGGTGTTCACTCAAGTGCCTATAACTGCATTTACTGAAAGAACAGCTGTGGAGGAAGGTCTAGGAAGTGGTAAGAGAAGCACTTGATTCATTTATGAATGAACAAAATATCTCAACAAAGCAGCATGATTGTTTTTACAAAATGTTAGAAATATTGAAAATTGGCAAAAGATGCATGAATTTGAGCTCTGAAGACCGCACTGTGTTATTCAGGTCTGTTAGAGGTGGAACAGGAGGATGAACTGGCAGACACTTACTGGTCTGGGACAGCCCCCCTAGACATTCAAAAGAGGAGAACTGAAGGGATATAGACTACTTCTGTATTGGAGAAGAATTCCTGCCATTAAAACGACATGAAACTAGGAGCTCTACTGCTGCTGCTTCTGGGGTCCTTGCACGGGGTGTTCACTCAAGTGCCTATAACTGCATTTACTGAAAGAACAGCTGTGGAGGAAGGTCTAGGAAGTGGTAAGAGAAGCACTTGATTCATTTATGAATGAACAAAATATCTCAACAAAGCAGCATGATTGTTTTTACAAAATGTTAGAAATATTGAAAATTGGCAAAAGATGCATGAATTTGAGCTCTGAAGACCGCACTGTGTTATTCAGGTCTGTTAGAGGTGGAACAGGAGGATGAACTGGCAGACACTTACTGGTCTGGGACAGCCCCCCTTTGTTTCGGAGGGTGTAAAGGCAGACACAGGGAGCTGAAGAGAGACAACTGTGGAGATTCAGACTGCTGCTGGGTGGGGTATAAATCCCTGTGTAGAGGTACACCTGATCATCATCTTAAAGGGACAGTTCACACAAATTCTGTCATCATTTACTCACCCTCATGTCATTCGTAACCTTTATGACTTTCTTATCTGGAACATGTCTCAAATGTATCAGTGTTTGTTTCCACAGCATGGAATCCATTGGTAATCAAAATGATTTAGTTGCCAGCATTCTTCAGATAATCGTCTTTTGTGTTCAGCAGAAGAAAGAAAGTTAGGTTTGAAACATGAAACATGGGGGCAGGGGTGAACTATCCGTTTAATGTAATGTACTCCATTTTTGTTGCCATCAATACAGACTTTTAAGTACAAAACCACAGATCAAGCTGTTGATTTGTGTGTGTGTGTGTGTGTGTGAACTAGAGCTTTTTATGTGTTTCATGAGTTTTGTTTCCTGTTTAATCTTCTGTCTACTTCTGTATTGGAGAAGAATTCCTGCCATTAAAACGACATGAAACTAGGAGCTCTTCTGCTGCTGCTTCTGGGGTCCTTGCACGGGGTGTTCACTCAAGTGCCTATAACTGCATTTACTGAAAGAACAGCTGTGGAGGAAGGTCTAGGAAGTGGTAAGAGAAGCACTTGATTCATTTATGAATGAACAAAATATCTCAACAAAGCAGCATGATTGTTTTTACAAAATGTTAGAAATATTGAAAATTGGCAAAAGATGCATGAATTTGAGCTCTGAAGACCGCACTGTGTTATTCAGGTCTGTTAGAGGTGGAACAGGAGGATGAACTGGCAGACACTTACTGGTCTGGGACAGCCCCCCTTTGTTTCGGAGGGTGTAAAGGCAGACACAGGGAGCTGAAGAGAGACAACTGTGGAGATTCAGACTGCTGCTGGGTGGGGTATAAATCCCTGTGTAGAGGTACACCTGATCATCATCTTAAAGGGACAGTTCACACAAATTCTGTCATCATTTACTCACCCTCATGTCATTCGTAACCTTTATGACTTTCTTATCTGGAACATGTCTCAAATGTATCAGTGTTTGTTTCCACAGCATGGAATCCATTGGTAATCAAAATGATTTAGTTGCCAGCATTCTTCAGATAATCGTCTTTTGTGTTCAGCAGAAGAAAGAAAGTTAGGTTTGAAACATGAAACATGGGGGCAGGGGTGAACTATCCGTTTAATGTAATGTACTCCATTTTTGTTGCCATCAATACAGACTTTTAAGTACAAAACCACAGATCAAGCTGTTGATTTGTGTGTGTGTGTGTGTGTGTGAACTAGAGCTTTTTATGTGTTTCATGAGTTTTGTTTCCTGTTTAATCTTCTGTCGTTTTCTTTGCCCTAGTGAATTGTGGAAAGCCTGATGTGGACTTTAATGGTATGGTGTATGGGAGTGATTGGTGGGTGGGTTCTATAGTGCGGTATGACTGCAGACCAGGGTTCGTGTTGGTGGGAGATCCTGCCCGAGCCTGTCAGTCCAATGGGAAATGGACGCCCAAACCATCCTGTCTTAGTAAGTCTTGGTCTGCCTGGACGTTGCACACAATTTACGGAAATACCCAGAAAGTGCACACAAAAATTAGACCTAATCTGTCTTAAGTTTCATGTATGTATAGTATATGAGAGACCGTACACTTATTAAAGTTGTTATAGTCAGTATTGTTACTTTGAGAGGAGTTAAAAATAACTCTTCCGAATTACCACACACTGTAAGAAAAAAAAATGCGTGGAAGAATGGGCAAGAATGGAAAAGGTACTGGTCATTTTCTGTCAGGACTTTATCCATTAAGTACAGCCCTTTACTTTAATTCTAAAAAACAAACAAAAAATGCAATTCATAATTCAAAGGAAAGGGAAAAAAACTATGAAAACTAAGTAAGGAAACTCCCTTCGTATTAACCCACACGCACATTGTTCCTTAATTTTACGGAGTGCATAGTCATTGTATATAACATGAAAACATGAAATCTCTACTGATACATAATATTTTTTCATAAAAAGTGTATAGATGTATTAAGTTCATTTGATATTTTTATAATATTTTATTTATTTATTAAAATATAATACTTTAGATCAAAGTCTGGGTTGTGGAGATTAAAAATGTAACATTTTACACTGAAATTGGTAATTTCATTGGTTATATTAAATACAAGTTAAGTACAATTCTCTCTCCTCCTGTATGTGACATTAGGAGTGTGTTATCGTGGCCGGGTTGAGATCAATGAGAAGGACATCGACGGGACATGTTCGTCCACCTGTCCTGATGCTAAAAGCTATGCAGTCCCTCTGAACCACAAATGCAGTCGTATTGAGAACTGCAGAACTAAAGAATCAGGCTGGAAGCGCTGGTTTACACGCTGCAACTACTGCGACTGTGACTGCTTCACTCCCTGTGGTAAGTTTTTATAGAGTCATTTAAATTGCGACTAGTTAAAACGTAGTGGCAAATAACTGCAGTAACAATATTTCAAAATCAATGTTTTTGTTTGTTCCCTCAGCTTTACAGGATAGAAGACCGTGAATCTGTATTCATTATCCTCTGGAAACAACAGAATTCATTTTTATTTGAATGTAAAGAGAGAGGATTGACATGTAACCTTAACAGAACTTGTCAAACTGAATATAAAAGCATTTTATGCATCTCTAGATTCTAAATATCTACACAATTGGAGACCTTTATTTTAATCACTGACTACAAAAGCCCAGATGTCTGGAAATGTCGCTGTTTTCCCTTATCTGTGTTTAGTAGTACAGATATGTAATGTACATTTGATTGTATAGTTAGAGTTTACAACTGTGGAAAGATCAGAGAAACATTTCTGTTCCAGTATTATACTATTGTAGATCCAATGAAATTATTATTCATACTCCTTGCATTAATATAGTTGATCCAAATCAGAGTGATCTCTTTTATAACCACAAAATATAACTGATAACAGAAAACAAATGTCCTTTTAGTCCCAAGTGGTGAAGTTCATAATGAAATTCTCATTTTTCTTGGGTTGGTAGCAGCCAATTCCTGCAAAAGATTGTGGAAATCTATTTTGTTTATATATATATATATATATATATATATATATAGTGTTGTAAATAAAATGAAAGCAAAATACCAATTCATTAAAAAAAAATCTTTAAAGTCTGTGTGGCTAATTAAACTCATACACCTACCCACATTCAGTCGGGTTATACTGTTTTCTTTTCTTCGACAGAAGCTCCCAATATGTGTGGTTTTCAGTAGATCCAGCCAGTCCGTTCACACTCTCCAGATATATGCCAAAGCATTTGTTAATACTGTATGTGAAACTAATAGAAATAAATGCAGGAGAATTAGCACAAAAGAATAACATTACCACTACAACAGTTCTTTAAAGTCCTGAGCCTTGTACAATAGACTGACACGGTAAAAAGATGCCCCATTTCCCCATAACCTATCAACCTACTATGTTAAACTTGCTTTATGTAAAGTGCATTAAACCAGAATAATTTGATAATATTTTGTGACATACGTGAAGCTGTTGTTGGTATCCTTTAGTTTATTTAAGACCCCAAACATCGGCATTCCCACTGTCACAGCAGTGGGGTAGGAGACCTTTGTGTTAGCAAATTTATTAGTGACAGTCACCTTAATGGGGATCTGTTCCTGCTGTCCTGTTAAGAAGAGAGATTTTTGTGCATAAGAGAGACTCAGAGAATCCTATAATAGCAATGTATTAAATCTTTTCAAATGTTATTTAGGATGTTAGACCTTAAAAGATTTAAATTCAATCACGTTTCTCCTCGTGTTTAGCAGAAATCTTGGCTTTATAGAAGCAAACTCACCTGAGTGGTCATCTCATTCCCCCAGCCCTGGGAAAGGCTGCAAAGCTGCAAAGCACAGAAGACTAATCGCCGTCAGAGCCATTCTAGCAGTCTGCAAAGTGTGTCTGAATGTCTCTCACAGCTGCACACCCTGTTTATATATATTTTTTTTTTGCATTCCAACTTTGCAAGTCATATAATTTCTAGGAAAGTTGTACCTTAAAAAGGAGTGGTCAGCCAAGAAATGAGGAAAGAACATGACAAAAAATAACTGATAGTTTGATTCTTTGTTCTTGTTTTGCGTAAACTTATTCAGTCACCAAGGAAGACAAGCTTCTTATGATTGTTCATTGCAAAGTTAGTAGGAAAAAAGTGAAATATAACACAGTGCACTGTGCAGACAAAAAAAAATTTAGAAGGAAAACGTTCCCCCCCCAAAAAAACTACATATTTAACAGTTTACAGCACCTTTTGAATCACAAATAGTGAGAAATGTGAACTACTTGAAACTACACAAAAACCATGTTAGATCAACAGAATTCTCCCAAGTGTCGTCCCAACACAGTTGTCTGAACAAAGAATTGTTAATTGAACTATATTGCTGAAATTTTAAGCGTTTGTGCCATCCTAGCATGCACTGCCGCCTGAATACATTACTGTTACAGGATTATTGTTTTGGTGTTTGCTGACTTTTGTTTAAACATTTGGTGTTATTCTGTCACTATTGCTACACTGTAAAAAAAATCCGTAAAATTTACGGTAGAAAACCGGCAGCTGTGGTTGCCGGAATTTTACCGTAAAAAATACGATAGCAACATTTTAGGTTTTACGGTTTTAACTTAAATTTACAGTTAAATACCGTAATTTCATTAACTGATAAAATTTTATTATTGATTATTGTTTTGATGTTTGCTGACTTTTGTTTAAACATTTGCTGTTATTCTGTCACTATTGCTAGTTTTTTGTTGTGTTGTGATGTCAAGAGCTCATCTCTTTACATTTGTTTATAATCACCATTCTTGAGATTCGTGTCAAGTGTTGAGGTCCATGTACAAACTTCAAAAATGATCCCAGATATCTTTGCTTTATTTGCGTAATTGTTGTTAGAGTCATTCAACCAGACTGCCCAGTGTCTGATCGTATTCCTTAGAAAGGAGTGTTCTGCAAAGACTTTTGCAATGAGGTTCTGAGGTGTCAATCCAACTGTCTCATTGTTTAATGCAAACGTCTGTCTGTCTATATGTCCACACTGAATGTAAGGATGCCTCTGGAATATTTGCTAAATTGGAGACCTAAATGTAAATCACAAATAGCCCAGATATTCTGAAACATGGCTGTTTTCCCTGGTGTCTGTGTAATACAGAGATGAAGCCTTAATTTTATTACTCTCTGAGCATAAGCCAAGTGAAGAGGAAGCACTATGTGTGTTGAATATTGCACTGGTACGCTATTTATTTGAATCAAATGAGTTAGTGATGATTGTTAAAAGACCATGGAGGCTTTTCAGTTTCGGGAGCTCTAGGTATATGTTTATTAGAGTATTATACTACTGTGGGTACAGTGAAATTGAGTTTATTTATTCAATTGATGACTGATGAAAGATGTGGTATTGATACAGCTGAATCAGAGTGGTCTTGTTTATAACCACAAAATATCCACAAACAGCAAATCTCCTTTTAGTCCCAAGTGGTGAAGTTCATAATGAAATTCTCATTTTTCTGGGGTTGGTAGCAGCCAATTCCTGCAAAACGAGGAAAAAAATAGAATATAGAATAGAAAAACCAAAATACTAGTGAATATAAAAAGTTATTTTCTTGCTCCACTATATTTGTACACATGCTCAGATTGTAGCATGTGTGATATTTAATTAAACTCATCCACTAACCCACGTTCAGTCGAGTTATACTGTTATATTTCTTCGACAGTAGCTCCCAGTATGTGCGGTTTTCAGTAGATCCAGCCAGTCCGTTCACACTCTCCAGATATATGCCAAAGCTTTTGTTAATACTGTATGTGAAACTAATAGAAATAAAAGTAGCAGCATGAACACACACATACACACATAAAAATAAACAAAATTAGCACTATAGCAGTTCCTAATTCTGAGCCTTGTACAATAGAATGACAAGACAAGCCTTGAGTCAGGTATGACTGTTGTAGAGTTGCCCCATTTGCCCATAACTATACCCACATACAAAGTGCATTAAACCACACAATTTGATGCCAGTTTTGTGCCATACTTTAAGCTTTTGTTGGTATCTTGTAGGTGATTTAGAACCCCAAACATCGGAATCCCCTTCGACACAGTTGTGGGGTAGGAGACGTCCATGTTAGCGAAATGATTAGTGACAGTCACCTTAATGTACATTTGTTTCAGGTCTCCTGGTAAGAACAGATTTTGTGCAAGAGTCTCTTTACTTAGGATGTTAGAATGTTGAATTCAATCATGTTTCTCCTCATTTTAAGCAGAAATCATGTCTTTAGAGAGGAAAACTCACCTGAGTGGTCATCACGTTCCCCAGACCCAAGGAATGGCAGCAAAGCTGCAAAGCACAGAAGACTAATCGCTGTCAGAGCCATTCTAGCAGTCTGCACAGTGTGTCTGAATGTCTCTCACAGCCACACACCCTATTTATATATTTTAGCATGGCAATTTTCTAAATCACATAATATCTGGGAAAGTCGTATCTTAAAAAGGAGTGGCCAGCCAAGGAACGCAAGGAAACAAAGATCATGACAAAGAAAGAAATATGGAATTTACTTAAAGCACATGTCAAAGTCAAGCTAAACAGCAAATTACTTCCCATGGCTCACTCCCAAAACCTTGTCCATACTGACAAGATAAGAGTTTAGTAAGATATGACTGTTAAAGCATCTCATCAGAGATTATAGAATAATTATAGAGTTACTTTAATTAATTGTTCTTGTTTTCCATAAATGTATTCATTCATCACATTACAATTGCTTACTATGCTATGTTATACTATGCTCTGTTATACTATACTATACTATTTCTTTACAGTGTGAATTTGATGAAATTTTATTAGATTTGAGCAATATGCATTTAAATGATTTTTAAACATCAATATATGTGTTTTAAGCAAGAAAAGGAAGGCAATTTATTTAGGATGTTTTTATTGCAAATTAAATAAATTAAACATAAATTAAAATGTGTTAAAGGGGTCATATGATGTTGCTAAAAAGAACATTTTGTGTATTTGGTGTAATGAAATGTGTTTATGCGGTTTAAGGTTCAAAAAACATTATTTTCCACATACTGTACATTATTGTTTCTCCTCTATGCCCC